AAATTTGAAAACGATACCTTTATTTTTACGGCCAAGAGAGTGTTTAGAGCACACATTACATTACGGACGGACAGATGGACATACTTAAATCGATTTAGAATTTGATGCCGATGAAGAATACATATACCTTATGGGGGGGTTTCTGATGCTTCCTTCGGGGCGTTGCAAACGTTTTGACAAAATGAATATACTCCTCATCCCTCAGTGATGGGTATAAAAAGAAAATCAGTTCAAGCCAAGCCAAGCAATATTTGTCTATACAACACAAATATATAATGGCTGAGTGGCTTTTAATTCCATTTTATGCACAAATTTATCGTACGCCCAGTAGCAGTTGGTATTAACAATTTGTTGGGCATATATAAGTATGGGATACATAGTCGAGTCTTAGTTATGAATCTCTTATCTCGAAATAATGCATGAACGCTAGTATTAGACTGCTGTCCTCTGCAGTAATTTTCCTCGGCAAGAGTCCGCCAAGACTTCTTCCAATATCGAAATGAGGTCGCTAAGAAAAAGGATAACCGATCATGACAAACAATGATGGTTCAAAAGTGCTACTGATCTGAATTTGAATGTGGTATTTACCGTAACGAGATACCGTCGCCTACATTAACAAAATTACGGTTTAACATTCAAATACTGGCCGAATCATATAGCGACGTGGGAATGAGAATCGTTGTAATGAGGTAAGCATTAAAAGAAGAAAACCAAACGATATTCTTACATATATTGGACGGACATGACTAATTCGAATGAATTTACTCTTGTCTTGCGATGATAGATTTAAAAATTAAAGTCCTCGTTTTTTGTTTTAATCTTTAAATTTCTTCGATTTTTATTGAAAATCTTTCACTTAACAATCTATTATAGCAGAAGGCAACAAAAAAAAAAAAAAAAAAAGTAGTAAAGCACTGATCATAACAACTTAATCTAAGTCAATTGACCACAACGTTAACGTTAAGGAATATTTATATAGAAAAATGTTTCTTTACACTACAAAATGTTCTAATTAAGCGTTAACTATATAGTTTTATGCAAAGAAAACGAAGATGAAGAAGAAGAACAAGAACAATAATCAATCAAAATCTATCAAGTTTCAGGCAGTGAACAATCAATTAATGCTCAAACGAATTATATATGATAAGTTGACATATAAAATATGCTTAATAAATAATTGTGAATTGATTTTTTATTATTAAATGCTAAAAAAAAAATGATACTTCCTCTACCTCTACGCAGTCTATATGAAAATTTTTTCATTTCTCTTACGATTATAGAAAATAAGCTCCATTTTGAGTTCACATAATATCAATTAAACGTAGTACGATACGCAAAAGTCTTGATGGCCCGATTAACATACACCTGAAACTGACGATAGTAGAAAACAAAAATCCTGGCATTCACTGCTCGCCGTTAGACAAATGCTTTTATGAGCACTTACTTTGTAATCTTTTTTTATTTTTTCAAATTTTTCCAAATCAAGTTTATGAGCAAATGAATGCACTCTGAAATTAGATTCGAAGGATTTCGGAGTAATCGTTTTCTAGCCCAAAATAAAGTTTTTGTACTTTTTACTCTATAATTAACGCTTAAATGATGAAATAATTAAATTTTCTTATTATTAACATTAGATTGTAAAATTATGTTCTTTTTGTATAAATTTACAAATATTTTTGTGAAATTTTCCAGCAAAATTTCGTAAAACATTTTGCAAAATTGAAAGTTTTTCAGTTATATTGTAAAATATTTTAAAAAAATAAATATATATATATATAAATAAATTTATTACAAAAAAAAAAAAAAAAAAAACAATCCTCATTTTTTTTCTTTTTTCTTTTATACATAATCAACTGTTAGCAAATCTCATAAAATATTACAAAAATATTTTTTTATGAACGCGCATTTTTAGATTTGATTAGATATGTTCTTGCCTCAGTTAAATATGTTCGTTTGTGATGGCGGTGTTGTTGTTGTTGTTGTTTAGGTAGTGTTGTTAGGGGGTTTTTTCCGTTATGAAAACGTACATATATCAAAAATAAATAAACGAAATTTGAATTTACCGATAACTGCGGGATATTCATTATCTTACATTATTCATTCATTATTAGGTGCTCTAGATGGATTGACTTAATTGTTAAAGTTAGAGAATGCTTTGGAAATCAATAAAAGCGATCATTTTGATAACATAACTTTAAGTAAATATGAGCAGAAGTTTTTTCGTTCTTCTTCTTCTTCTTCAACTCCAGCATACCTGTTGTACCCATTAACTGATCACCATCAGCGGTAATCGCTTTAGGTTACTGAAATAGTTTAATCTATGTTAGCTAACTGTCTTAGCTGTCTTATTAAGTCTTGCTTATCTAATCTACTTAGCTCAGTTAATCTATCCTGTTCAAGTTGCCTGGTCTTATTTATTCTACTTAGCCACGCTAATCTCGTTTACTCTGCTGGGACGAAATAGTTCATCGTATAGGCTAAATAGTCCAGCTCACCCTTAGAACCTTCAGCCTACCTTAACTACTTTACTTTATCTGGTCTAGTTAGGCAAGTTAGTTTGCCTATCAATTCATTCCTTCATTTTCTTTGACTAACCGATATAGTCCCAAGAGTGATCAGACTGACTAATCCATAGTCAAGTCAATTTCATTAAGATGACCTGATGTGGTCTAATTCAATTAGCTCAGATTTTATATCGAATATAGATGATTTGTTGATTTTCAAACGGAACAATGCATGGAACTGATATATAAAAATTTGACAACTGAATAAAACCGTTCGTTTCATTTTCTTTTTATTTTTTAAATTTATTTTAAAATGTTTTTTCTTATATATTATTTAACTACTTATTTTTGTTTTTTGTAATTGTTTCATTGTTTTATATTTTTTAATGCTATTTAAAGTTTTAATTTTCGTTTTAATTTTATGCACTCTTTAAGGTTAATAACGTTTCATCGTTTTTCTTTTAAATTTTTGTATATTTCTTGTCTCTAGTTTTAAGGAATTAATTTTTATTTGTTTTTATGCAATTTTTTTTTTTCTATATATATATATATATTTTTTTTTTTTATATAATTTTATTAAACTTAAACCAATTTAAGGAAAAATGAATATCGTTAACATTTTTATGCAATTAATAAATTTAAATTAATATAAAAAACATATAATATAATTTTATCTTTCTTTTTTTTTTTTTTTTTTGTTTTTTTTTTTTAATAAAATATTCAATAATGATTATTTATACAATTTGCTTTTTAAAAATAAAATTAATACTCCAATTGTACGAACTCTTGTAAAATTTAACTTGATTTCTATGATTTAAAAAAAAAAAAAAAAAAAAAAAATTAAAAAAATAAAAATTAAAGCATTCGACTTAAATCGAATTTTTTGATAACCACCACCTGAAAACAATATAAAATAAAATTAGAAATATATTCTTAATTGTAAGCGTACTCTATAGCCGATCGAAGCCGCAAAATATATTTCTATGAAAGTTTATACCAAAATCTGTAATAGATAATAAATTACAGCCTCCTATATATATATATATATATATATTTGTGATCTGATTAAGATCATTTTTGGGCGTAAACTTTTAGATGCACTACGGAAACGTTTGTACCAAGTATTAAATGAATCTCTGAATTCTGAATTATAGTTCTCTCCCTATTATTAGCTATGTTCTAAGGTAGTATAAACCGATTTGTAAACTGTAGCTAAGTCATTAAGTCAAGATATGGATAGGCGGAATGATTAAATCGACTTTGAATTTTACGCTGCTTAAGAATATTAATTAATAATATCTTGTACGGTGCTATGGTGGCACGCACAACCCACAGACAGAAAGCCTAATCGAATGTGAACCTAGTTTTCGATCTTGCGCATAAAAACTGCACGCAATTGAAGACGACCCTTTCATACACACCCAACTCACAGAATATATTCACTTGAAAATTATTTAATTCATTCTTATCAAGCATAGATGCATCGGCAAATTGATTAGTGCCAGTATGACTTAGGATATTAAAGTGCCTTCCAGTTAGGATATTTATGATGTTATGATAGACCAAGTTATTGGTGCGAATATTTTCATATTTTGTGTTCTTTTTCAAAGATTCTTTAAAATCCATTATAGTAACATAGTGAGAAAACCGCTAAAGCACATGACACTTGAATCGATAGTCGAACATGGCATTTTGGCTTAAAATCTCATCTTAATTGATAACACATCTAGATTTTGTGACATATTCAGGCATTTTGCAGATGAAATTTGGTGCAGTTGGGGGAAGGGATATAAGCGAATCTATTCATATAATTAAACCTGATATCGGTTTGAATTTTTTCTTTCATTTGTACTACATCTAATTTAACATTTAACTAATTTATGGGTACCGTGAGTGTAAGCGTTTCGTAAACTTGTCTGCCTGTGTGTGTGTGTGTGTGTGTGTCTGTGTCTGTTTGTGTGTGTATGGGGGGATTTCAATTACATTTATATCCTTTCGCCCTTGGAAACTTTTGCGAGTTTTCGTCGAAACAGCTTAATAACGAGTTTTATCGAAATTTTCATTAAAATATTTATATATATATATTTTTTTCTGTCTTATGTACACTTCTTCTTCTTTTCAAGGCATAAGTTGAAAATTCAGAGAGTAACAGTTTTTTCTTTTTTTTTGTTTGTTGTTATTTTTTTTTTTTTCTTCTGTTTTTATATAATTCTTTAATTTTACTATTTTAAAAATGAAAAGAGAAATAAAAAAAAATCTTTCTAGGCACTGTTCACTCACTTAATATTATAAATTTTTATACATGCATCGTATAAATGTACATAAATGTAAAAAGACGAAACAATAAAAATGATAATAGCAAGTAAGAAAATCATAGTCGCCTTTAGGGGCGGCGAACTTTGGATATCCACCACCTTAAGCCGCCAGACATATATTGTAGGATTTTACAAGATCGTATTTAAAATTAAAATTTTTCTTTTTTTAAATTTTTATTAAATTGATTGAAAAATAAACAAATATTATAATGGCTATCATTTATGAGATCTATTCAATGAATGCGAATATATATATTGAAATTTTCAATAATTTTCATTATTTGGTGGGCGGTTTTCGTTTTAAATCGACTCTAAAATCTACATAAAAAAAAAATTTCTCCTTTCGAATTTAATCATTACAATTATTGGGATAATAAATAAAAATAGAAGCGAATGAATTAACGTACGAACGAACGGACGAATGAACGGACGAACGGATGGACGGACGGACTTGATTAAACCGTTTAAAATATTGATGCCACAAGTTAAACGATCGCTCGGATTTCTCGGTGGTGCATCTAAACACATACATTGATAATAAGCGTGCAAAAATATGTTTTTTCCTTTTTTCTTCTGCTTCACCTAACAATAGTTAGGTGAAAGGTTATTTGGTATTTAACTATTTCGTTGACAATTTCCTATAATTGATATATATGTTTTTTTTTTTTTTATTTAGTTGGGTTAGGTCGTTTGTTTTTTTTTTTTTTGTGATTTCCGAAAAATATTTCCAAAATTTTGCGTTGCTTTAACGATTTAAGTAAATGACTTCTTGCATATTTTCATAATTTTATTTGCTTATATATCCAGTTGGAATATGCTTATATTTATGTACTGCTTTCCAAGGGCTCGGCAGTGTACAAATTAATGATATCCTTTAGAGAACTCATTGAACCGAATGTTAAAGCAGCCAAACCGCAAATTGCAATAACGATATTCTTCCAAACGATCCAATTGTACGAACCGAAACCAGTATCCCAATGGGTAACTAATTCAATTAGGACCTACAAGTAAATGTATATATATAGATAAGATGTTGTTTATATCGAAAATTCATTTTCAGGTGCAAAAATTGCTATATTTATTATAATGTGAAGTTGGGAAGATTTAAGTCTCTGCTTAAATGTACTGTCAGGCAAAAATTACAACAAAATTCCATAAAATAATTTGTTTTAAGTGATTGCAAACATGGTTTGCAAATTACAAAAATCATTTCCCTTTCTTTTTATTTATTTATTTTTTTGTCTAATTTATCCGTAATATTTTCTCAAAATTTCAAATTAGTCCGCAGCTACAGTCAATGCTCGATTAGTGTAAAGTCATAACAGTTACAGATCTCTACGGCAAGAAGGATGATTAACTTGTAACTTGCATTCTTTGGGTCGATAAATAGTGAAATGAAATATTCTTTATATCAAAAAATGTAGTAAAAAAATCCATTCAGCTCGAAACGTGATTTTAATCGTTTGAATCCGACAATTCTTCCGGCGATCTTCTTGACAAAAAAGAACGGATAGGTTTCAAGTTCTTATGAAATGCTCGGTATATAAAAATTTATGAACAACAATTGGTTGTTGCTGTCAATCAAATGGTTCTCTCACTTTCGCTAGGTAGCATCAAATTTCAGTATTTAATATTCAAGAATAAATGAAAATATGTATACACACATACTTTTCAATATAATCATCGTATTGTATATATTCTTGTCTTATTCGTCATACGCTTCATACTCATTAACATGTTATAAATTGCGTACAATATGGTTGAACTACTACTTTACTCTTTTTAAACTTTCCTGACAGAGTGACGTAATAAGAAAAATTAAATGTCTTTTGGAAACAGACAATGAAACTTTTATGACTTGCCAGCAGCAGAAGCAGGAAAACGCTTAGTTCTAATCTATGTAAATCATTTTGTTATCATCTTTCTGCGAGATGGGTCCCTTAAATCATTTAATTTATATTAAATTAAAAATTGATAAAAAAAACAAATTTTTGTAATGCCTACTCTTTGGACCTATCCCCTTCCATTCGCAAGCCATAAACAAATAAGTAACAAAGTAGCATAAGTCGTACGTCGTAGGTAATGCCATCACTTTGAAGACTTCGAGGTTAAGTATAACTTACCGGGAATATAAGACCCAATATAGAAAAGCAAAAAGCTCCAATTAGACCCATAAACGGTGCTATAGTTGGCACAGAAACAGCCAGGACGACGGCGGCAGTAACAAGTACAGTTCTGTAAAACAATGCAATTAGTAAATATTTTAAAGTGCGGATTGAACAATTTCTAGACTACATTAATTCACTGAGGAACGGAATCTGGAATATCGATCACCTAAACTGAACTTAACTATGTTAAAAGAGTTAAAGATTTTTTTTTTTTTTTTTTTTTTGATTGTGAATCCAATTTTTAGATCGTTAGTACAACAAGGCTGTCGATAAGTTCAAGTTCAGCCTCTAATAAATAATGTTTAATTTTCCTCTTCTCGGCTATTGTGAGCTTATCGTGCCCACTTTCAGATTTGGTTTGTGGCCTTTAAATGAATGAGTATATATATATATATATATATATATATATTTATATATGATGGGTTTCGGCTTTTTATGCAGAATTCCTGTTTCCATAAGTGCTTCGACAATTAAGAGCAGACAGGACTAAACCAGACTCGAATCTTTCTTATAGATCAACTAAAATAAGAGGAATTATGGGGAATATTTGACATACATACATACATACATACACACACACATACACACACACACACACGCATACATAAATCTTACATAATTAGATTTTTTGCTTGGGTGGATAACATATCTTACCTTAGCACGTAATTAACTAAAGTCGGACGTTTAGTGCATTTATCTTTAATGCTATCCCAAACGATTTCAAGGCATACATAAAACTGAAGTCCAAATGTACAAAACACAGCCAAAGCAATTAACACTTTAACAGCTTGGGCAGGCCTTTTAACGTAAAGAGAACAATAATTTAATTTCTCTTTTAAACAAATTGAAAATTTCAATTTTTTTTTTTTTTTCTCTTACTTACCATTCATGAACGGGTAAATTTAAAGTAATACTTTCAGCTGTTTCATCGCCATAACGTAAATAGCCTAGGAAACCAAGGAACATATAAATTAGAGTAACTCCAGACATACCCTGGCTTAGAACACCACAAATGCCTAAAAAGTGTTGAGGATTTTTCATGTTATTTTCTAAAGGCATAACCACACCGATAGCCTCCATCGCGAATATAGTTATGGAAAAGAAAGCCGGTAATGTAGAGACATGGGCGAAGCCACGGCTCTCAATGGGCGGTAAGTCCATAACCAAATAATAGAATGTTATACCCAAGCCTAAACCCATAAAAACATTGGCAATCATTGAGACTGGAGCCAGGTACTTCAAGTTAGGAATCCATGACAAAAGTATAAGCGGTATTAATAAACAGGATATGAGTAAACGCAAAGATAATTGATAACCCAACCAATGCTCCATAACCTATAGATAAATAAACAGAATTTTTTTTAAGAAATGCCCTCAAATTTTATGTAAAAAAACAATAATAAAAAAAAAAAAAAAAAAAAAAAAAAATTGTAGATGAAATGCTTCCGCTTACCTGTTCAAAGTTCTTTGCGACAATTACTGTGTACACGGAACAAGTACCAAAATAGGTAAGAAACAAACCGAAGAGTATGGAGAACTTTGCTATAGGTGCAAAGCCCCGACACCATTTCGGACCATTTTGAAATGAGACTTCGGCTATTTCGGCAAAGCTCATTCTCGTGCGTCTTGTTCTATAATACAATTTGTGGCCACATTTCACCTGAAAACAAGATCAATCAAATTGAAATGAGAAAAAAACCTCAGAATGCAAGCTTATACACACGCACGCACATACGGCCGCGGCCATATGTGTGCTTTGAAAATAATTATAAAGATTTATTATGAAATTTATTAAAAAAAAAAAAAAAAAAAATTACAAATTTTCACTTTTAATTTAAATTATAATCTAAACTAATTGTTATATTATCGATCGTTTGAAAAATTTCATTTTATTATTTATTACATTTATATACTTACCAGTACATAACTGCAATGCGTACAGATAAAGGCAGTAAGTATAGTAGCGAAAATGCCCATTATAATACCCGAATACATAAAAGCTATAGGCATCGACAAAATGCCGGTACCCAGTGAGGCTTTCAACAAATGCGTTAAAGTTTCGTTGTCGCTGCAATTTTAAATAATTAATCGGTTATATATATATATATGCAATTGTAGAGGCCGGACTTAATTTCATACTTACGTTGTGGCATGCTCATTGTCTCGAGCAGCGAACGGATCATAATCCGATGGCGTTACAGCTTGTTCAGCATCTTTGCGTGGCTGAATTTTATATCTGAAAAACACAAAAACAATCATTTTTTCTTTTTTTTTTTTTATTCTTTTCTGTATAGTTTAAGAAGAGTGTGTGCAGTTTCCAGTGTAAAGCAAGGTATATAAACGTCGCCGAATAACGTAACTATGTTAAATGTTTCATAAATCTGTTGGCTTAATACAAGTTTTGTACGTTCCAGAATATGTGGAAAAAGCTCATTACCCCAAAGGTATTTTTTGTAACAAATTTCGGCGGCTTTCCAATTATCAAAAGGACGACATCTTTTTTAGGTTGTTACGCAATGATAAGCAAAGTGAGGAAATTTTTGCAAACATTATACCTTAAAGCTTTAGCAAAATCGAAACTCTTCTCAAATTCTCTTTTGTAGTTTGGCATGTTATAGAATGGCATGTTATATATGAAGAAGAAGGCCCTATGCAAAGTAAGACAATTAAAAAAATGTATTATTCGATGGTTTTTTCGGGAAATTTAGTCATTTGCAAATCAGTTGGTTTCACGCTTCCCTCCTTGGCCAAATGACTTTATAATTAATATGTAATGGCTTGTGAGATGGTAGGTACTCCTTGAAAACGCATTCCTCTCCAACAACATTTCACTTTCTTACGCTCACTCCCGCGCAGAGATGCTCTGCAACAATTTTGCCAGTTCTCTTTCAATGCCTAAAAATATGCTTCGAATATTCCAGTGCAAATATTGCAATCATTGGCTTAGATCTCTTGCACAATTCCTAAAGTATTGCATCTGACTCCCAGTACTAAGTAACAGCAGCTCTCTGTTGCAGCTCTCTGTTGCAGGCTGTGGGATTTCAAATAGAACTGGACAGCTCTACGGATTTGCCATTGGGTTCTACTGAAGTTCGTTCGTCATCGTTTTCAAAGTTGCGAAAATCGAGCTCAAAAGTTTAAATATCACATATATACACTCTTGGCAGAATTTCACAAGTCCACTTTACAAATGGTTGCGATGCGCTTTTAAACCTTCTTGCAACAACTGAAACTCTCAAAAAAAAAAAAAAAAAAAAAAAAATATATATATATTGAGAATTTTTTTCTGCTAAAAAACGATTAAAACAGATGTCGATCTCATTCCCGATACAAATTTTTTGCTATCGCTGTGACACACCCACAACAAAACAACAAAAAAGAGAAAATTTACAATTTCTCCGCATGCATTGAAGGTAAAGGGCAATCCGAGATATCGTTTCAAGGAACATCCAATCTTGCTCGCTTTGCCAACGATTTTCAATCGATTCTACATATGAACTACGTTTAATTTTGTCAAATGAAAAAAGAAACAGAGTACAAAATGTAAACACAAAGATATTGAATCTTTTTTCACTTATCTCGAATTGATTGAAATTTTTCCTTTGCGATAAAGAATTGATATAAACTTACTTTATTTCCATTGATTTATTATTTGTTTCACTCATTTCGATTTCTTTCAAATATCAATTTTTTCTTTCTACTGCTTTTTTAAAATTTTTGTCATGGAAAAAGGTAAAAAAAGGAGAAAAAAAAAAAAAAAAAAACAGAAAACAAGACAAAAATTCTGAATATTTTTAATATCAATATTTATATTATAGCACCGAACTATTTCGATGCACACAACAATTCTTACTAATCTCGGCTGAACGTTGCCTCCTCGTCTTTATAGTGAAATTGAAATTCTTTAGTCAAATGGGGTAAAAACGCAAAATGAAATGTTCACAAGTGTGTGTTTCCTTTTTCTGCTATATTTGAAGTTTTCTGCATTTCTACGCGTGGTCCGACCGTCTGTCTCTGTATATTTCAATGTTGATTAAAGCAGAAAAAAAAAAAAAAAAGCTCAATTAAATCGCTTTGTTTTGTGATCACATTTCTTACGCTAAAGCATAACATAACGTACAATCCACTCCCAATTAAGTTTTTGCTTACAACGCATTTGTTTCATTCAAGCACATAAGCTTACACGTAGACATATAATATATAATACACATCGAGTCAATCTTATGCCGCATATGCTGCCATAAACGGTACATTTGCCGATATGTTTAACGATATAGATATATATATATATATATATTACCTCGGCTTACATATGATCTTCTTTCAATTTGTTAGTGAGCGTAGTCTAACTTGTACGTACATTCATTGTTGACAATCGTATCTTAAAATGGAATTAAATTTCATACTAAATTGCTATACATGTGGTGTAGTGTACTTTTTCCTTTAAATAATGTAATATAATTTTAGGAAATTTTTAATAAAGCACTCAAACTCACATACACGCGAAATACAAAAACTCATTCTCTCTCTCTCTCTCTCTCTCTCTCTCGGTGTCTTTCAGAATTTCGTTGACTATCTGCCTTTTTTTTTCAAAATTTGAAAAATATATATAATATATGTAACACAGAGATATCACCCTATGTCGTCGGGTAATAAGATATGATTATACTGTTTTAAATTCGAGAAATCGAATTTTAAAAAATTTATTTAATATATTTGTCACTTCGTGATTGCTTACAGATATTTTCTCTTTGAAATAATAACATTTTTTTTTTTGTTGCCTGCACAAGGTAATCGTAACAGAGCACTCTTGTCTGGGTTTGTCCATCTCTCTGATACTTTTTGGGATATTTTTCGATTTCTTATATCTGTTAATGTCTCCGTTAAAGATTCTCCTGGTCACACCATTTGAGGCATCAAATAACTTTCCTCGCTAGCATTGTGGAAGGAAGTACAATCTAAACTGGGAACAATTTTCTTTTTAAAACACCAAAAAAAAATTGAGATTGTCCCTCATTACGCGTCCACTCACATATCGTACAATAAATATTCTATAGATAATTGTATAATGAAAATTGGCCACGCCCATTGAATATTTTAAAGTATTGTAATTTTATTTTTTTAATCAAAATGGTAGCAGATATAAACGGTTCACCCATAGCTGACTATGATTTTCTTATATATTTTCTTTTTCATTTTTCTTAAAATTATGAAACTCGTCTAATATAGGGTGTAATCGAACGATCAATTATTCTCACACAAGCGAAAGGATAGATAGTAATGATAGTAGTGAATAAATATACATTTAACGCCCACTTTAAAAGGTAGACTCTCTCCTTGTAATTCCGTGGAAATTCGAAGTAAAACTTTTATATAGAAAACAATATAAACCGAATACAAGACTATAAAATAAGAGTAATAAATAAGTAATAAAAAAGAGATAATAAATAAATAAACGTTGTAATTTAATTATGGAAACTATAAATTTATAAATTGAAAAATGTAAATTAAACGCAAGGTATTTCATAGAAGTGAACACTAAACCACTAAAACACTAAAATAAAGTTTCCCTTTTGACAGCATAGTAGTACATATATATATATATATACATATATATATATACATGTAGATAGGTAGATTCTCATAAGTGAAAATAATGAATTAAAATGAACTAAAACTGGAACAACAAAAACAAATGAATATTAAGTCAATATTAATTTTTTTTTTTACATATTACAGTACAGTAAGACACGGCCCGTTGTTGTGCGTTGTCCTACACTACTCCGCTTAATACATTCATTCATGTAATGACTTTTCAAAATAATGTGTTATATCGGAAGTCCGATTTCAATCATTTTCGATAGCATTCGTCCTTGGGTCGAAACATATCGTTGTACAGAATTTCATCAAAATATCTCAAAAATTGCGGCCTGCAGGTTAAACAGAAAAAACCAAGACGGACGAACGGACAGAGAAGCTTAAATTGCATTATAAAATGATTCGAAATTGATCGGTATAATAAAAAATGCATCTATCTCATGTTTTTCCGGGTGTTGAATACATCCTGAAAAACTTAATTAACTTACTCTTGTACCACAAGTGATGCAAGGTAGGGTGAAAGTCGTGATAGGTTGTTGACGAAGAACCTTGTGACGATATTTTAAGAAAGCTTTCATCAACATCTTCAAAGTATGTATGTATGTGCAATTCAATTTCAACCCTTCGGTTGCTTGTAAAAATCTTATGCGCGACGTTGGGAAGTGAAAATGTGAATGTTCGACCCTGCCAAAGGCAGTGTCACCAAAGCTAATGCTCGACACATGCTGTGAAGAAAAAATAGCGAGATGTTTTTTTTTGATTATCACCATGTGGCGTATGATGAATTTCTTCCAGTGGGGTAAACCTTTAACGTAGAAAATTATTAGAGTTTCACGAGTCATGATTTTAGATCACGATAACACACCTACTCACACTGCAGTGGTTCTTCGTGACTTTTTCGCCAGATAGTTAGCTCATGTTCTTATAAAGAGAGAATGACAACGGTTGACCTGGAATCTTAGGTTAATCAAGAATATATTTATTTAAGGGGCTTTTAGCGCAAGTTTATCTTGTCTGTTCGTTTTGTAATACCAGCGAACGCACTAAGCCAGAGATCGCACAAAATTTGTACCCAGAGATATATACGTATATTTGTACGTTAGAGATATATATTGACCCGATATGGTTAAGAGTAATTATGACTCTCCGTTAAAGTGCGGGTCTTAACAATGACGATGCCCAAGCATTAGAGAGATCCTAGACGTGAATATTTTCACCTCCTCGTGATTCCTGCTGGGCGGTGGACACGCAGGAAAATTTACTTCCCCACCTATTGAGTTGGCCAAATGCTCAACAGTTGGTAGGGAGACTTTCCGGTGTCCGTCGACCAAGTGGAAAGTCTTGGATTATCTATAACTTGGCGACAAGTTTTCTGATGAACAGTTTATGGGTGCACTGAAAGACTATGACCACTTTTTTCACATAGACGATTGCTATCAAGGAAATAAAAAACCAGCCGTTCTTGTTTTTTAGCTGGTTATGTAAAGCACGTCGATATAGTAATAGTCGAGAGCATGGGGCCCAGCAAGTCAGATGTATCGCTGACCCCAAATATATATTGAAGAAGGGAAGTCCGCTGGTGTCCGCTGGGCGATCCGAAGGCAAGAGTGACTATGTCGCGTAAAGTAAGTCTAAATT